CACAGAAACTGTGTTGTTTGTGTGTTAATTTGGGAGTGATTTATTACACAGCAATAAGTAACCAATATACATAGCTAAGATCAGCATCAGTGTGGGAGAGGAATATTCAAGGGTATGTTTATTGAAAAGGTAATTATAGGAATTATTCACACACATTTATAAACAGTTTTCTATAGATGGACTTTTTCCAGCCTTTGGGATTCTGAGATGGAATAATTTCCACTACTTCAACAACAATGATTAACTTTGTGTTAAGTACTGGGAACAATATGGTGAACAAGAACAGAGGTCATGTTCCTGGCCTCAGGCGCCTACAGTTTGTAGCAGAGGAGAGGGAATGAAGAAAGACATTAGCTCAATAATTCCTTCTTTTTTTTTAACTTTAAAAAATATTTTTATACATGTAAATCCATGACTGATTCATGTCAATGTATGACAAAACTCACTACAATATTGTAAAGTAATTAGCCTCCAACTAATAAAAATAAATGAAAAATAAAATAAAATAAAATAAAATGAATATATAAATAAAAAAAGATTAAAAAATAAAAAAAATTTTTTTCTTTTTATTTTTTTATTGAAGGATAATTGCTTTACAGAATTTTGTTTTCTGTTAAACTTCAATATGAATCAGCCATAAATAATTCCTTCTTTAACTATGTATTTAAAGCTGTTAAGTGATACAAAGGAAGTATATATATAACTTAGTTTGGATTGGTATAAGAAAACTTGAGAAAGTGGCAGATAACCTGAAGAGATAGACAGGAGAGAAAGAGGCAGGAAAGAGGTAAATTTCACAGTAGAAGTGGCATTCTTAAAGGGAAACTGGATAGGTGATCAGGAGCTATGGAATAAGTTCATATTTATGGTCAAATTGTATCCTGCTATGTGATAATGGTATTGTGGGTTACAGTTTTTAAACTTTCATTTAGAGATAGATGCTAAAATATTTATGGATGAAATTATATGATGTGTGGTGTGGTGTGGTTTAGTCGCTAAGTCATGTCCAACTCTTGCGACCCCATGGACTGCAAACTGCCAGGCTCCTCTGTCCATGGGATTCTCTGGGCAGAAATACTGGAGTGGATTGCCATTTCCTTCTCCAGGGGATCTTCGCAACCCAGGGACTGAACCTTGGTCTCCTGCATTGCATGAAGATTTTTTACCGACTGAGCTATGAGGAAAGCCCATGATGTGTGGGATCTGCTTCAGAATAATTCAGTGGCAGGGTGAGGGTCAGGAGTGGGTAGAGCTACAGATGAAAGATTTTCCAAATGAGTTAATAGTTATTGAAGCTGGGTGATGGATACTCGTGGGTTCATTATACTATTCTACTTTTGTATGTTCCATAATAAAACATAAAAAACTTGTATCCTGAAAACACATCCTGAAGGCTATGTGTATGTATAATGTTTGAGAGGTCACAGCATATATACCTCCTTGTGCTCCATTCCGGAAAACAGAGGTTAATTACATCTTTAGGGATAAGGGAATGGAATGGGTTTTATGTTACAGAAAATGTAAAGACTTCTCAGCTTCAAATCATACGGCTAACATAAAGTAGGGTATTTGTGTCATTTACCTTGCCTCCTGGCTGTAACATATTACTTCTGCTCATTTTTCAGTAGCTCAGATGGCATGGTTTCACATATAACAGAAACTTATAATATGGTTCACCCTAGAGTAAAAGCCAGTGGAAGGATTCTGTTCAAATTACATAGCATGGACAGTATTAGAGTGAATTTATGGGTTAGGAAAGGAAAAGAATAGAGTAGGAGAGAGGGGAATCCCCTTTTGTTAAAAAAAATCTGGGTTGGCTTGCCATGGCAATAATGGATTATGAATTTCTTTTTCTCTTTTATGCATGTTATTCTGAGGTGGGTCAGGCTGTGAAATTAATAGCAGGGATGGAGACATGAGTCAGGGATGTACTTCCTTAGGATTTTTGGTGGGGGAGAGAGATACCTGGGGCTGAAGCTGAAGACATGATGCTTCATGTTTCAGTATTCAACTGTTTCAATGTTAGGTTATTTGGGGAATCATATTTTGAGATTTTGATTCATACCTTCCTTAAAAATACCTTTGCCACCAAATTGTTTCTCTTCAGTTCAGTTCAGTTCACTCACTCAGTCATGTCCAACTCTTTGCAACCCCATGGACTGCAGCATGCCAGGCTTCCCTGTCTATCACCAAATCCTGGCGCTTACTCAAACTGATGTCCATCTAGTTGGTGATGCCATCCAACCATCTCATCCTCTGTCGTCCCCTTCTCCTGCTGCCTTCAATCTTTCCCAATATCAGGGTTTTTCCCAATGAGTCAGTTCTTCGCATCAGGTAGCCAAAGTATTGGAGTATCAGCTTCAGTATCAGTCCTTCCGGTGAATATTCAGGACTGATTTCCTTTAGGATTGAGTGGTTTGATCTCCTTGCAGTCCAAGGCACTCTCAAGAATCTTCTCCAATACCACAGTTCAAAAGCATCAATTCTCTGGTGCTCACCTTTCTTTATAGTCCAACTCTTACATCCATAATGACTACTGGAAAAACCACAGCTTTGACTAGACAGACCTTTGTTAGGAAAGTAATGTCTCTGCTTTTTAATATGCTGTCTAGGTTGGTCAGAGCTTTTCTTCTAAGGAGTAAGCGTGTCTTAATTTCACGGCTGCAGTCACCATTTGCAAGTGATTTTGGAGGCCCCAAAAATAAAGCCTGTCACTGTTTCCGTTGTTTCACCATCGATTTGCCATGAAGTGATGGGACCAGCTGCCATGATCTTTGTGTTTTCAATGCTGAGTTTTAAGCCAGCTTTTTCACTCTCCTCTTTCACATCTATCAAGAGGCTCTTTAGCTCTTCTTCACTTTCTGCCATAAGGGTGGTGTCATATGCATATCTGAGGTTATTGATATTTCTCTTGGCAATCTTGATTCCAGCTTGTGCTTCATTCAGCCTGGCATTTCGCGTGATGTACTATGCATATAAGTTAAATAAGCAGGGTGACAATATACAGCCTTGATGTACTCCTTTCCCAATTCTGAACCAGTCTGTTGTTCCACGTCTTGTTCTAACTCTTGCTTCATGACCTGCACACAAGCTTCTCAGGAGACAAGTAAGGTGGTCTGGTATTCTCATCTCTAAAAATTTTCCACACAGATGTGATCCACACAGTCAAAGGCTTTGGCATAGTCAATAAAGGGGTTATTTCTCTTCAACCCCTATTAGACTTCACTGGAGTCATATATATGCAGATTACACTTACCATCTTAAGCCGAGGTTAAATAAAAGGGAAGAATGCTTATGGCAGTGAAGATTTTCAGAGCTTGAAGATGAATTTGGTTATTTCAAAACCATGATGAATCTCCTTGTCAGTGCAAAGCAGCAAAGGAATATATAAAGTAATGGAGAAGGTGGACCTGGGCATAAACATGTTCCCACACAGCATTTGTACTGAAAGGCTTTGTTGTTGTTCCCTGAACCTTGGCAATTACAGGCATTTTCCTGTGCTCTGAAAAACATTTGGCAAACAGCAAGAGGAGGTCCCCTCCTTTTCTGTGTTCAAGGCTGGGTTCTGGCCTTGTTGCAGGGAAACGCTAATTCCCGATCATTCTCCCTGGGAGCAAATGGTTTGTTTTCTCTTCACTGAATCCTGCCAGGGATGAGTTCTCAGCAGCAGAGCCTGGCATGGAAAATCCATTTGGAGCAACTAGTCCCCAGGAGGGAAGAAGGCAAGCCGATTAGTGGGTGTGGGAGACAGCTGCAGCCACCATCAGGGCCAGTCACACCCGCTGGCCGGGGTGGGCATGAATACACAGAGGCACAAACAGAGTCCACAGCAAACACGTCTTGCTTGTATGCCCACAACTACATGTACCACACACAACCAAATCCATCCATATATACCACACACGTACACTCAATATAGCAGTCACATGCACCACACTGCCATATACATACCACAGACACACACGCTGTATAACAACTGTGCCCACCACACCCCACATACACATGGTTGCACAGAAACTCATCTACTGAATACCACCTACAGAACATATACCCTATCACACAAAAACACACCAGTCACTCTCCACAATGGTCATATGCATCCATGCCACATATGTGCATATACACACATTCACAGTCCACATTACAGTCACAGGCATCATGCATACCACACACACACGTACACACTTAACAGCACATCCAATTACACATACATACTGCATCTAATTCACATAACAAATATACACACCAAATACGTAACACATTCCACATACCAATCCCATGCATCACAGATACATCTCTGTTACATACACAACCCCATGACACCCAGCTTGATTACTTTCCCGCTTAGCAACGTGGGGCTGCAGCCTCGGGCTGAGAAGGGGCGGGTAGCGGTTAACACAGGTCATGCTTCGCAGGCTGGGAGCCTTGGCCCAGGATGTGTGCCCCAGGGGCCGCGCTGGGAGCGGGAGACAGCCCCGGGGGAGCGCACGTGTGTCCTGTGTGCACGTGTGCATGCCGCCAGGGGCCAATGTGCCTCAACACTCCGGGGATGTGTGTGTGTGTGTGTGTGTACGAGGGCAAAGGGGGCCGCGCGTGGGGCAAGGATGTGCGTGTGTGAAAACCCCGCTCCCACCAGCGCAGGGTCTAGCGCACTGGGCGTCCGGGCGGGCGGGTCCTCAGCTTGCACACCCCTCCGCGGAGTGTGGACGTGTTTCAGCGGGAGTGTGTGTGTGGGAAGCTTGCGTGGAAGCTGGTGTGCGTGTGAACACCGAGACTCCGAGGCGGCTGTGTTCCTAACGGCCCTGCGTCCGTGGGGGCCAGCCTACGGGGGCTGAGTAACTGAGTGTTCGGCGGCCGCGAGGCCGCCGAGCGTGTGTGAGCAGCCGTGTGTGAGAAGGCGGGGCTGGCGGAGGGACTCGTGGCATCTGCCGAAGCCAACGCGCGTGTGTGCGCGTGCGTGTGCACGTGGGGCGCGGTGCGCGCCGCGGCGGAGGGAGGGAAGGCGGCGGCAGGCCCAGCCCCCGGTCGCAGCGCCCGGGGCGGCTCCTCTGCGAGCCTAAGGGACCGCTCGCTGCGCTGCCGCCGCCAGCTCTGCTACCGCCACCTCCAAGCGCTGGCCTGAGTCCCGGCCCGCGCTGTGCCCGCCTCGGCTTCCTGCCCGCCCAGACACCGCTCCGACCGAGCTCCGGGTCTCGGCTCCGCGGAGGGAGAGGAAATGAGTGCGGCCGCGGCGCCGGCGCCCGAGCGCGGTTGGAAGAGCGAGAAAGTGGACGAGGCTCAGGCCCTGGCGCGGAGTTGCGCCGCCCGCAGACCCGACTTCCAGCCGTGCGACGGGCTCTCCATCTGTGCCACGCACAGCCACGGCAAGTGCTTCAAGCTGCACTGGTGCTGTCACCTCGGATGGTGTCACTGTAAGTCGAGCCACGTCTCCTCGCCTTTCTCCGCGGTCCCCAGGGCTCCCGCGGGGCCGTCCGGGGTCGTAGCAGGGACTGTGCGGCCTGGGGGGCGCCTGGCTGGGCCGGGGCTGCCCTGCCGCAGGCCGGGGCCGCCGTGGGGTCCGGGCGGCGGGAACGGTCCTCGCGCCGGACGAGTCGGGTCGGCGCTGCCTTGGCAACAAGATGAAATCTGTGGGGAACCTACCTTTTTAGCCACTTCTACAAAAGGGGTCTCCCCGTCCCAGGAAAACTGGGGTGTATTTTTTCCCCCTGTTTTCTTTTTAAACCGAAAAGACCAGGCGCGTGTGGAGAAAGGGTAGACAGCCGTCAGAGTTGACGACAACCGGAGGGGAAGTCTTTTTTTCAGGGCTGCTGGTTAAAAGGTGGCACCCCTTTTTTTTTTCACTTTTGTCTTAACGGGCTGCTGTTTAAAAGAAAGAGAACCCTTGGATTTGGAATCGTAGCCCATTTCTTGTATCCAGATTGAAATAGCGCTGAAGAGTGAGGGACTGCTTCCAAGAAGTTAATATTAACAGTTTGGAAGGGTGAACTCCTTGAATACCCAGTTCCAGCATATAAAGCCAGTGAATTATAGAGACTGTTCTAAAATTACAAGAATAAAATGAACGAAAGTAAGCTTCAGTGATCTTAAAGTAATTCGTAGAACTAAATGCTCTAGACCTTTTCTCTTATGTCTATCCTGCCTGCAATTTTTAAAATAGATTTAAGTGGCCATTTAATCAGAATTTCACAATTTGATTAGTTTATGGTATTTGGCCTGCTATATCTGATGAATTATTTCTTTTTAGAAATGCATTCTAAACTTAGTTTCCACATAACCTTATAATAGAGTGTTTGGAGTGCTCATTTAGGATACAGAGTCTCAAAGTGATCTTAAAATTATTTTTTCTTCTTCGGTTAGAAAAAATGGCTCCCAACAAGAGATGCAGTACGTAACAGATCCTGGTTTATATTAATTGAACATAATAAAATATTTTAAATTTATGACTTCAGGGGTAGAGAATTCTTACATTTCCTTTACAAATGCAAGACACATTGAACAGTATTGATTTTTTGCATTCTGTGTACTGTTAGGTCTGTTTCGTCCTATATCTCATCATTCCTGTTGCTCTCAGCTCCATTCCTAATTGTATGGCATTGCTTCAGTGGGGGATAGGGTGAAGAGTTGAAAGTAACAACTGTGGGAAACCTGTGATGCTAGAATACACAAGTAGGGTGACTCTGGTGATTCCATTTCCTGTGGAAGTATAGAAAGAGTCATAGTGTGAATTGTGAGGAACATTAAAGATGGTCCAGTTCAGTGCCTGTCTGGAAGTGCCTGTTCGGCAGTCTCCCCTCTGAGTACACCATTACTGATGGGAACCTTGCCATCTTCTCAGGCAGCCTCTTCCTTCATTAGACAGCTTTGACTCTTAAAAATGCTCTTCCTTATATGGAGCTAAAATCAGTTACATTGGAATTTCTTCCTACACCTCCTATTTCTACCTTATGAAATTATATATAACAATCTTAACCTTTTTTAGATCCTATCTGTTTCAACTCTTCAGATATACACATGATGTAGACTTTTTTACCCTGTCTCTAGTCACAGCATCTGGCCTGAAATAGGTTTGTAATTCACATTTGTTGAATGACTGAATGAAGGTCGCCATTGTTTTCCTCTCAAGCATTGTCTTGTCCTATTTATAAATCTCCATTCCTCTCTATGGGCTTCCCAGGTGGCTCAGTGGTAAAGAATCCTCCTGACAGTGCAGTAGACATGGATTCGATCCCGGAGTCTGATCCCTGGGTCAGGAAGACCCCCTGGAGAAGGAAATGGCTGCCCACTCTCGTATTCTTGCCTGAGAAATCGCATGGACAGAGGAGCCTGGTGGGCTGCAGTCCATGGGGCAGCAAGAATCAGACATGTCTGAGTGACTGAACCACCACCATTCTTTTCTGCCTTTCCCTTAATGGTGTTCAGGCCTCTGAGCATCCTGGTTTTTGTATTCTGAACATATGCCAATATGGTTATGATCCTATGAAGATAGTTACTTCTAGAAGGGTACACCGTATCCCAGTTGTGGTATGATCTGTCCAAAATTAAGCAGGACTGATATCGCCTGTGTTTGAAATACTACTACTGCAGCTAGCATCACATTAGCTTTTCTTTCTTCCACATCATATTGAGCTTGTTGTTGTCAGATTGAACTAAGCTTGCTCTGAACTAAGCCATTAAGCCTCTTTTTTGTTTGTGTGTGTGTTTTACATTTGTGGCAAGTTAGAGCGCTTCCCTGTCTCACAATTATACTTATATATTTGGATATGGCTACTCACAGATCACTTAAATAGATCCTTTCCATATATTTTCCTCTTTCCTTATTGATAAAATTGTTAAACAGGAGAAGACCACAGATGAAAGTCCTGAACTGGCTTTCAGGTTCATAATAGTTCATTAATGAGCACTCCGTTGTTATGATCGTTTTAACAATTACCTCACTACCTAATTGGGCTTCCCAGGGGGTTCAGCTATAATCCGCCTGCCAATGCAGGAGACCAAGAAATGCGAGTTCAATCCCTGGGTGGTCAGGAAGATCATTTGGTGTAGGAAATGGCAACCCACTCCAGTGTTCTTGCCTGGAAAATTCCATGGACAGAGGAGTCTGGTGGGCTATAGTCCCTGTGGGGTCACAAAGAGTTGGACATGGCTGAGCGATTGAGCGCGCGCGCACACACACACACACACACACCTTATTATACCTTTATCCACCTTCTGTTTATCTTATCTATATTGGTTTAGTGAGAACCTGATCAGATACTTTGTTGAAATTCTCCCAACATACTACTTTTATGTCTTTTTGATATACGTAAACATACTCTTCTAAAAAACAATAAAGGAAATTATTTGAGTGTAATGCAGCTTGATTCCACAAATGCTTAACATTTTCTTTTCTAAGTGATTGGTAGCTACTTTTAAAATAATCTGAATTTAGAAAGGACTGACATTGAGTATACTGGAACATTAGCAGTTCTATTTGTTTTTAAAATCAAGCCTGCATTTATTTGCTCTTTTCAGTCTTTGGCAGGCTTCTGGGATTCCATATGCTTCCTCTGCTGCTGGTGGTTTGGTGATCACATCCCAGAATAGCTTCAGTTCATTCAGAGCAGCCAGCTGCCCTGTTCAGTCTCCTCACCTGTATGAGACATCAATTCTTTCTAACTTTTTTAAGCCCAAATATTATTTTTCTTGAAGAGAAGCAGAATTAACACATTTGAGAAGTTCTACTTCTTTTGGACTTCATGAACACAACATCAGTCCTAAATAGAATTCTTTTAATTTTGGTGAACATGCATTGAGCACCTTCTCTTTATGAGACATTACTAGGGAAACTAGGAACACAGCTACGAATATAGCTGGATCATGTCCCATAAGCGGAGTGTAAGGGTGTGATTCATCCTATATTTATTTTTGCATTCCTTTAAAATCACAAATGATATGGCTGAAAAATGATCAACTTGTTCACCAAATTGGTAAATATTAAACCAGGAGGACTACCTTGAGATGATTGAGAGAGGAAATTCAGAACAAATAAAGGAAATTCAGTTTTATATGGTTGATGTTGAGTTTGTGAAATTTATAACCTTATGAAGTAGAAAAGGCTACAGGTACATACCTGTTCATGAAAGACACATACTGTGTATATGTTGACAGATGCAGTGCTTGGTGTAAAGGAAATAATTGTTATATTTGGGTAATCGATTTTGAGGACTATAAACTATAGAAAACTATAGTTTTCTGTGATGAAAACTAGATATGTTCTATTAATGTCTCTGTCAGAGGTAGATTATTGGGCTGAATAAACTATGGCCCTGGATCTGAACCTTTATTTTTTTTTCTTAGTAAGGAGTGGTATTGGGTTGAATTAACAATGAAGGATTCCAAGAAGAGATTTGAGAGAGGAAAAGACGTGGCTTGGCTAGGGAAGAGGGATGGTAAACAATAAATCATATGTAGATATTGTAGAGTAGCTTTTTTTGTGACTGGAGTAAATTGACTGTTAGAAGAAATAAGAAATTTGATTGTTGAGGTTTTAGGGAGGGATGAGCTGGACAGTGGGGAAGTTCCAGTTGCTAGAGACCTTGGCATTATAATGGTAAAAATGAGTAGTGGGAAAATGAAATCAGTATGGGAGAATATTTTCATATTAGTGAAAAAATAGGTTGAAATTCATGCAACAATGTATATTTAATGGAAATTGGAATAGATTAGATTTGGAGGGGGAGGAAGAGGATAGTTATAAAGGATAGCTTCTAGGATTCTAGAATTTTGCCTTATGCAGCTTGGATGGATGGTGATGCTGTTCATTCACTGACAACCAAATACTGAACAAGAACTAGGTTTGGATGATCATGGAATCATGAATCCACGAAGACCATGAATCCAATTTTGTATCTGTTGAGTTTCTGTTGCCTTGTCATTGCATGGTGATGTCAGTAGGCATTTGGGTATAGAGGATATAGAACTTGGAGAAGTCTGCACTGGAGATAATATGGAAGTCATTCACTTCTTTATAGATTGCCCTTGTAGCCATGATGAAGCATGAGATTGCCAATGGAGGGGCTACCGTATGAGAAATGAAGAAACCCTTTAAGCTTTCCCTTTGGAACACTAACATTTAGAGGCTAGTTACAGGAGGATGAGCTGGCAATTGAGTCAAAGAAGAGATGGCCAAAGAAGAAAAATCTGGAAAGCATGGTATTACAGAGGCCAAGAGAAAGGAGTGTTTTAAGAAAGAATGTGAAGATGAAATCCGTTTTCAGCAGGTTATTTCTTAAATATTCGTGAAACTAGAAATAGTGATTTTTTGTTTTGTTACTGAAGAAGAGGATGAAAAGTTTAGTTTTGCAACAATAACTTAAGGAATATACTTAATTATAGCATAGTTATTTGAGATCATGTATTCTTCAAGGTAGAA